CTGTCCAATTTCACAGTTGTGGAATTGAAAACCTTGATGCGGGAGAGAGGCATTATAACCGGCGGGCGCAAAAACAATCTAATTGTTCAGTTGACGAGTGTCGTACCAGGAATTGCAGGTCAAATTCCAGAATTGATTGAAAAATTGAGTCGATCGCTGGAAGGAACGTAAGAAACAACACGTAAGACGGTTAAGAATTGTCATCGCGGAAAAGTCGCCCGTTAGCCGAAGAGAGTACGAACTATTGAAATGCGAAAAAAAGTTGTTGGAAAGAGAATTAAGATTGGAAGTAGAGAAAGAGAGATGTCATCGACATCAAGCACAGCTACAAGTACCTCGATTGCACTGCGGATCAATGTTAAAGTTGTAACGGAAATGTTAAACGAATTTTCCGGCGGAGAAAACGAAGACTTTTCGAACTAGAGAACGCCGAACTGCTTAAGGAAACATTTGATTTGGACGAGAACTTGATGAAATTGATAATCCATCAACGATTACGCGGTAAAGCGTTAGGTTGATTCCGTGCAAAGTCGAGCAACATAACGCTCTCAGTCGCTCAAATTTTCGGGGAGTTGCAGGATAGATTCGATAATCGTTTAGATCTTCGATAGTCGTTAAGCTGACTCGAAGGAGAGGATTTGAGATGCAGGCCTGGATAAGAGAGGAATCATTCAACGAATACTTCCACGGAAAGATGATCCTAGCCGAAAGTGTGTGCCTGGATTAAGAAGAATTAATCGACCTAATAATTGATGGTAACGGATGGACCTGAAACGGAACTAAAGAACCAAGCACGGATGCACCGTTTTGAAAAAGTCCAACGACTTGTTGAATGCCTTTTCGAAAATTATACGCCGTGAAAGAAAAGTGATCGAGAGAAACGCGACGGTAGGAAACCATTGGAGCAGAGTTCACAAGCGAATCAGACAAGACACCTTGGCGAGCCACGATATTTAAATTGCAACGCGACAGGACACCATCAGAAGGACTATCCAAATTCGAGAAGAGAATGAGGCACTTGTTTTAAATGCGGAGATTCATCGATCTGCTGCTTGTTCTCAGAATGCAACGACCCAGAGAACATCGGCAACTCAAAGGGAATCACCGATACAAAAAGAACCCACATCTACGAATCTGGTGCAACCGGCTTCACCAGGTCCCGGTCAAGTTTCCTATGTTAGAGGGTAATACAACGCATTATACAGAGTGTTTTGTAACTTGTGGCACCCTTCGAGAGCTGATTGTACGCCTGAAAATAATGAAAAAAAGTCATATAAATATATGTCCTATCTGTCTTCGTTTATGAGGTATAATGAATTTTATAAACAGAGCACACTCTCTGTCCGGCCTCTCTTTCCAGAGATAGACCGCAATAGTGATGAAGCTAGTTTTACCAGAGATGGTATATTTTCATAATAATTATAATTGGGATGAAGAAAACCCACATGTTATAGTGCTTCCAAGACATCAATACCAATTTAGTTTAAACGTATGGGCAGGAATAATTGATAAATTTTGATAAAATTGGACCTTTCTTTCTTGATGGGACACTAATAGGCACAAAGTACGTTGATTTTTTGAGCACGCGTTTACATGAAATATTAGAGGAAGTTCCAATCGATATTAAACGTCGTATGCGGTTTATGCATGATGGAGCTCTGACGAATTGCCATGCGAAATGAGAATGGAAATAAAGCTTGAAACCGATAATCCAATTTTCTGTCCACGAAGACTAGCGTTTAGTGAAAAAGAAAAGTTAAAAGAAATATTAGAAGAGTTACAAAAAAAATGAAAAAATTCGACCGAATAACTCTCCCTTCGTTAGCCATTGTGCTAGTAAGAAAAAAAAACAGGCGATATTCGACTATGCGTGGATTATCGAGAGTTAAATAAAGTAACGGTTAAAAATAGCTTCCCATCACCATTACTTGACAATCACCTCGATCGACTACGCGAAAAGAAATATTTCAAATTGGACCTACCCAATGGATTCCATCACAAATACACCTCATTCGTCACACCAATGGGGCAATATACCTAAGAATGCCCTTTGGTTTGACAAATGTACCGTGGGTTTTCCAGAGGTACTTGCGCGGAATTTTTCAAAAGTTACTAGAAGCGGATAGGATGCTAATGTACTTAGATAACTTGATAGCCACGCAGACCATCGAAGAACATTTAGAAATCCTACGCAAAGTTTTCCATTTACTCCGTCGGCATAAGTTACAAATTCGACGGGATAAATGTTCGTTTTTATACACACAAATCGATGAACAGACTAAAGAAAAAATTGAGTCGGTTTTAAATTACCCTGTCCCTCGCACTACGAAAGGGATGCAAAAATTTGTAGGTTTGGCAAGTTATTTCCGCTGTTTTGTAAAAAACTTTTCTATCCTAGCAAAACCTTTGTACGATCTGCTAAAAAAAGATGCAGTGTTTCGTTTTGGAGAAAATCACGTGTTTGAAAGTTTGAAAGAGAACCTCGCGTCGGAGCAAGTGTTAGCAATTTATGATCCTCGTCTTAAAACCGAGCTCCACTGCGATGCGAGTAGCAATGGATTTGGAGCGATTTTGCTACAGAAACAACCCGATAGCCATTTAAGACCAGTTTTTTACTTTAGTAAATGAACCACAATACAAGAGTCGAAATATCACAGTTTCGAGCTCGAGTGCTTGGCGGTTGTTTACCCGGTAAGGCGATTTCACATATATTTGTTTGGGATAAAATTCACTATCACTACAGATTGTGACAGTTTTCGACTTACACTTACAATAAGTAAGCAAAATTTTAATCCACGAATTTATCGATGGACACTATTTCTGCAACAGTATAATTATAGGATAGAACACCGATCTAACGATAGAATACACCACATCGACGCAGGCGTGTTAGTGTTGGAGACCAACACATTTGAGCAGGTTCTGGCGGTTAAGCAAAATCAAGATAAGAAAATTAGCGAAATTAAAAAAGAGTTATGTAGGCAATAATTTTACAATAGAATTCCCGTTAATGACAAAGTGTATATTTTCGCGCTAGACCGATTCCGACGTTCGACTTAGGTGAACGTTCTGCTGGCGGACTGTCCCTCCGTGCCCTCCTCGGGTATATATATCCTTCGTCCGGGTACCTTAGTTCTGGTTTACGGCCATCCGTCATAAACCTTGGGACCTTACGGGCATCCGTCATAAATTTTGGGACCGTCACCAGGTCCTTAACCTTGAGTGGCCTTTTCTACCGAGTAGACGAGGAAGTCTTCCCACGCCTATGGGCGGCGTGGCTAACATTCGCTCACAGTTAGAAGAAACAGAAAATAAATTTTTTGTATTACAGGATGGATTAGTGTATAGAAAAATAAAGAACAAAAAGCTATTATTTTATGTTTCGGAGGTCATGAAAACAAACGTAATCAGATCCTGTCACGATGACTTAGGTCATGTAGGCACTGAGAAAGTGGTCGAGTTCATTACCCGAGTCTACTGGTTCCCACAGATTAGAAAAAAAGTAAAAAATTATATACAAAATTGTTTTAAGTGTATTGAGTTTTCAAATTTAGGGGGTCGTAAAGAAGGTTACTTACACAATGTACCAATGTAAAGGAAAGTCTATCGTTTCAAACCATCCATGTGGAACATTACGGTCCGCTTGAAAAAGCCAGCCGCGGATACAAGTTCATATTGTCAGTCATAGACGCGTTTACGAAATTTATTAAATTCTATCCCTGTAAATCGACAAGAACGGAAGAAGTAATAAAATATCTTCAAGCATACTGTAGGGAATAATTTCACAAGGTAATTCCCGTTAATAAGAAAGCGTAAATTAAGCTGGAGACCGGACGTGTGATCTCGGCGACGTTCTGCAAAAGGAATGCCGTCTGGCTTCGTGCTCAGTTCAGGTATCCTCCTCGGTCCAACCCTCGTCCGAATACCCTAACTCGGTTTATCTGCATCGGACCATAAAACATCGGAATCGGCCAATGGTCTTTAACCTCTGGCTTCTTCTACGAGATAGGCGAGGAAATCTTCCCACACCTCAAGACCGCAGCTTGGTTAATGTTCGCTCACAATACTTTCGAAATTATAGTAAGCAGCGTCGGATTATTAACGACAGAGGGACCTCGTTTACGTCTCATGCGTTCGCATGCAGTTTTTAGACGAAAAAGGGGTCGCACATGTACTAATAGCTGCAGAAACTCTCAGAGCCACTGGGCAGATTGAAATATTTCATCGATTACTTACGCCAATGCGAAATTCTCGAAGTTTCAAAGAAGTGATGTTGCGTTCTAGAGCAAGTAGAATACGTTCTAAATAATACTATTTGAAAATTGATAGGGACTACTCCAGCAAGTCACTTTTTGGTGTAAATCAAATTAGGATATTGTAGCGATTAGCAAATATCGGAGAAAGTCGTTTTCTGACGACAAGAAAAGCTAGGAGACTTTACGACTCACGCGCCTGATATGCTATTGAAATGCCAAGCTTTGTTCTTACGGTGCATAGGGCAACATTGTCCGCACCAAGTAATAGTAATAAGGCTAGAATAGTATCTGCGAGCGTCGTAAACTTTAGGATTCCCAAGGGCCTGCACTCAGGTCGAAAGGCAAAGGTAAAAGCAAAGCCCGGAAGAAACCCCACTACGTCACCAGAAATTAAGAAACAGTCCCCGAAGAAATTGTAGCCACACTCTAGTAAAAGCGCGTTATGAACAAAGAGTAGGCGGTGCAATTTCCCAGCTTAAAGCCAAGAAACATTTAGCCAATTGGGAATGCCGAGGACATGAACCGAGGTTTCCTGAAAGTACCTGGAGCAAACGAAATTTAGAAATCCTTTCGTCGTCGATCAGTGAACAAGTAAGAGTGAAAAGTGTAGAGTGTAGTGTAAGTGCAAACCGTGCGAATAAAGAACTGAGTAAAGATCTCAAACTTCCTTGTACCAAATCACCTCCCCACAACTGGTGACCTCCGACGTGATTATACAAGGCAGAGGTTTCAACTTCACGCGACATGGCAAATCGAAGTACTTCACGTGCCCACGCCACCGAGCCGGCCAACACAGGAACGGTAACAAAAGCAAGAGTCAGTGTGTCGCCCTTTTGGTCAGACGAGCCGGACCTGTGGTTCCGTCATATCGAAGAACAGTTCGCATGGAACATGACGGACCAGGCGAAATACAGTTTCGTCTTAGCACACATCGGTTCGAAACACGCGAAAAAAGTGTCCAATGTCATCTGGAATCCGCCAGACAAGAACCGATACGACACACTAAAAAAAGAGCTGATACGCAACCTTTGCGATTTAAAAAGCCAGCGGATCCAGCGTCTACTAGAGCGGGAAGTAATTGGGGATCGAACCCCGTCGCAATTCCTGCAGCATATGAGGACGCTGGCAGGTAAGGAAGTGACGGATGAATTTCTGCGGATGACGTGGGTGAATCGTCTACCTTCTACAATCCGCGCTATTATAACACCGATGGACTATCCACTGAACGAACTGGCCACGATTGCGGATCGAATCCAGGAGATCTCACCGAAAGTCGCTAGCATCTCCAGGGACACGGAGAATGACAAGCGAGGTCAGGAACTGAAGGAGCTGAGAAGTCGGATAGCCGAGCTCACGAGGATGTTCGCTCGAACTTCGCTGTGGCAGATAATGAGGTCACTGACAGCAAGGAACCATTGCTGGTATCACAGGAGCTTCGGCGACCGAGCGATCAAGTGCCGATTGCCATGCAGCTATGTGTCGGAAAACGGGGAAATCGGACACTGAGCGCGGCGATCAGTGATGAGCCGAAGACAAGCCGCTTTTTCGTCACGGACAAAGCTATGGCAACAGAATTTCTCGTTGACACCGGCTCAGACCTTTGCGTATTCCCACATACGCGCGTCAAAGGCCAAGCCGAGAAGTCGACCTACGAAATGTACGTAGCCAATGGGACGACGATCAGCACGTACAGCTTCTCACCCGGACCATCTGCGACCGACGTCAATCCCGAGACAGGTAAAGCATAACGTTGTACAATATAAATACCACGCCCGGTCCACTAACGTTCTGAAGGTTAGCCGCCGATATGTATAAAGTCGCACGTAGCGAATTCAAGCCAAAAACACATCCTCCCTTCTAAAAGCTAATGGGCCTCTACACATAGTCCCTAAGAAGGATAGCGGACCCTGTGGCGATCGCGCCTTGAATTCGCGAACGATACCGGATCGCTACCCGATACCGCACATAGAAGAGTTTACGTGAATGCTCTCCGGGAAGAATACGTTTTTCACGATAGATTTGGTGAGCGCATACCACCAGATACCGATCAATCCGGGAGATATTCCATAAACGGCCGTAATAACACTCTTCGGCTTATTCGAATCGCCTTGAGGCGGCTCGACTAATTGTTACGCATATCTCGACGATATCCTAGTCACCCCCCAAGACGAAACAAAACATCGAGAACACCTGAAACAGCTCTTCGCACAACCCGACTAAGTGCGTATTCGCGAAGTCTGAAGTCCGGCTCCTCGGGTACACAGTAAACGGGAAAGGAAAGAAGCCGCTTGCCGAAAAGGTAAAGTCAATACTAGATTATCCGAAACCAGGTACCGTAAGGCAGCTCTGTAGATTCTTGGATATGATAAACTCCCACCGAAGATTCATAGCCAAGGCCGCGAAACTGCAAATTCCGCTGAATCAACTATTGAAGGGTTGGAAATTGAAAAGTAACGCTCCGATCCAGTGATCAGCCGAAGCGGAGACAGCGTTTCAAGTGCTAAAAGACGCGTTGTCGAACGCCGCGCTGCTAACGCATCCAACGAATCGTGCGAATCTCGCAATTGCGGTGGATGCGTCCGATTATGCGATCGGAGCAATGTTGCAGCAGCAAGAAAAAAGCGCGTGGAAGCCATTAGCCTTTTTCACAAAGCCGGCGCAATGTAAATACAGCGCCTACGACAGAAAGCCATTAGCAATTTACTCCGCGATAAAAAAATTTCGACACGCGGTAGAAGGCCGACCGTGTTTGCGGTGTACACCGATCATAAACCGATCGTGTACGCGTTCAGATAAAAGCCAGAGAAATGTACTCCGCGACAGTTCCGATATCTGGATTACATCAGTCAGTGTACGACCGACATCAAGCATGTCAGCGGTACATGCATACATAATAGTCGTATCAGACTCTTTTCTATTTAAAATAATTGCTATATTCTATAAACACTTTTAGTTAATAGTTTTTTAATAAAAAACGAGCTATGGCTAAAACCTCTTTAATGTTACTCAGGAGAGCGTTCTTGACAACATATGTAAAGATTAATGTCACCCCTAATTTTTAGCTTTATCAGAAATTTTATAGATGTAAATTAGTGTACTTTTAGAGATTCAAATAATGTTTCATAAAATATATAAATAAAACCTTGTGTACTCTATTCTATTAAAAAAAAATTTTCTATTTTCTTAATTAAATAATTCTATTAAAAATTTTAGGCTTTAGCTTCGTCAGTATTAAAGTTACATATATTACTTTTCAAGGTCTTTACTATCATCATATTTATATTTTGCAATTAAATANGTATATCTATGGAAAAATATTTGATAGTAAGTACTGCTTATATCAAATACTATTTATTCAGGGCATATTGAATAATGAATACCATAAGACATTAGAAGAACAAATTCTAACCTATTTCAGCACAGATATTTTTCTATATACATTAACGAATTGTGTTGATCAACGTATCGTGTTGAAGATCATGAAATTATTAGGTGTTCCATTTTATTTAAAATATTTCGAGTAAGATATCCTAATTTTTAAAGAATATTTTCCCGTTTAATCGCCAATAACACGATATTTATTTTATATCCAATTTTATTTTATATCCAATTGTAAAATGTATGATGTATTGATAATAAAAACAATGTAAGTGCTAATGAAATTCTACGAACTTTTTCCAAAAGAAAGGGTTATTTGGAATTCATAGTTCTTTTAATAAGTTTTATTATCGTAATGAATAGAATACGATGCAATCATAGAAATTTAAATCTTGAAATTCAAACACAAAATTAGTTTTGCGGAAATTCTTGTAAACAAATCTCGACCAATCCAGACTGGAATCACGCAATGGTCATCATAATATGTAAATTTTGATAATCCTCTACATATGTATAATGTACAGCAGAACTGAAGTTATAAATACAGAAATAATGAAAAATTGTCGATATTTTAAACTGTTATAAACATGCACGGTTATAAATATGTAATAAAGAATAACAATTATCGTGACTTAACTTGAGCGAGCTTATATAGAGATTTACAACAGTTTATATTTTCATTTTCTTTACTATGACAGTTCTGAGTTCGTCCTTCTTAAAGATTTCACATCGTATCAAAAGTGGGAAAGTGAACATATCTCTATTTTTTAAAACTGTAAAAATTCAAATGTCTTTAATAACAAATTTTCTTTAACACTGAACCCATTGTTGTCATAAAGATTGATGTTTTCCCTTTGAAATATGCCGTACAATTTTTTTCCACTAATTTCATTGAACTTTGAACATTGTAGTCAGACAACGAAATGTCGAAGTTTCTTGAATTTTTGTAGTTTAACCTTTAAGATTTTGATGGGTCTAATCATGAAAAAATCTTTTCAATGTTGTTAAAAACGCTTGAGTTTCTACAATTTTCAAAAATAAAATAGATGTTTGTG